GGCTTTCCGAGAACTGGCTGGCGAAACGAGGAAAGCAGGACGTAGCTCCCTACAGCCATAGACCTGAATCTCTTAGAGAAGCGATAGTCGCCTGTCCCCCCCGCCCCGTCCCCGAAAATAAGCCTGCCATGTAAATCCCTGTGATTTCAGGATGGCCCCTTTTATGTAAACTGAGACACTGAGGATTAAATAGTTAGGAGTTTTAAAGAACATTTTAAAATGACCGTGGCCTCCTGAAGGAGCTCCAGTTTTACCCAGCAGCTCTTTCCGAGGGCACTCAATCTTTTGTCCCGAATTTATTTACTAGTCACAGGAGGCGCTCAAACTTTTTGTCATAGAGCTGTTTTTACATATATACACACTTTACCCTTTTCCTTTTAAACAAACGTTTCCTTCACCCAGTAAGCAGCCTTTTAGGAATATTTCTCTATGCTATAGTTCTCTATTCTGCATTGTATCTATATTGTTCTATTACTTTTAAGTTACTTTATTTGGGAAGGTCTAAGAAGGGTAGAGAAAGACAATCTGCATTCATAGACGATGAACAACGATACTGTATTTATTTATTTTTTTAATGAGCTCAGTATTAACTGCCACGAAAAGCTGAAAAAAAGAGAGAAAAGCTGTTCTTGATTTCCCCCGCCCTCCTCAGATGCAATTGTAACTAAAAGGTTAATGTAATTTCTAAAGTCATAGCAGAGTGGGATTGAGACGAAGCCAAAGGAAATAATACTCAAGAAAGGTGGCGAGACCTTTAAAACTGTGGCTTTGCCTCGACAGTGGCTGCACACGGGTGGAGGTGGATCCACGACATTCCATGGATTTTTATCGTGGAGGAGTATTTGAGTATTAGCTGGGCTGTGGCACTCTACCAGTGGGTCAAAGTGTGGGCTGATCCATGAATGGTTGCTGTGGTACTACAGATAGTACTTACTGGTACTACAGTAACGGAATAGATAGAATGGGCTGCCCTGAGGTGGATGTGATCACAGCAGTAGGTTACTGCAGCTTGCTTCAGTTTTGGGAAGTATAAACATTGTTCAGAGACTGGCTGTAAGAAACTAGAATTTCAAGCTGAATATGATTAAATATGTATATTTCACGCTGACGAGGCAAACATAACTCCACGTCTGCTGTGATGTGTCACACTACTTCCCTGCTTTTGGTGCCTACAGAGGTCAATGACTGCACTCTCCTGGGTCGAGTGTTTCCTCCTGGCTCCTGGTCAATAGGTGCTGCATGTTTGTCGGCTCCTCCCATTGAATGCATGAAATGCTCTCCCTGAGGGCTGTCACTACTTCAGAGGTGACAGGGAAAGACAGGAATACCTCTTCTGGCTTCCACAGAATGAAGGACCCAGAGCTGTGTCCTCTGGTGATAGCAAGGATGGTTCAGCAGCACCCCAAGAAAAGGCATCTGGAGAGGACAAATCCTGCAGTTGAAGAGCCTCATCCTTGACTCTCTGCACCTTGGCACACTTCCTATGCGAGCCCAGGCATTCACAACAACTAATTAAATTAACAAAAGGTATAAATTAAAAGTGCCTGTGAACTGTATTGAGTCTCAATTTGCATGCTCTTATTCACAACAGAACTGGCTGCAATTTGATTTAAATTAATTCACTTTCAGAATAAAATAACACTGAATAGAATAAAAGCAGCTTTAGTTTTGAATGGATGTCTACATTGAATTGTTTGTGGTTTAACTAATCCACTTTTAAAATTAACTCTATTAATTTTCCAGGGCATTTTCAGCTAGCCTAGCTTGCTTTGTCTTTCTATTTTAGTCCACCATCAGTAAAATGGAAATAGTAATTGCCTGCTAACATTTTAAAGTTGTTGTGTCGGAGGGTCTTGGTAACTGCAGCGTTCGGCCTGATACTCAGAGTACGTGTTCTGCAGAAGCCAAGCCTTGATTTTCTACACATGTACAAAATTCTTGTCTGGTAATATTTTATGAGGGCTGTATCCAGCTGTACATGACCACAGGATATAAGCAGCAGTGGAGAATCAGAGCCTCGTGGTGCATTTTAAACTTTCCCTGAACATCTCCTTGGCTTTGGCTCTGTGTTTTTTTCAAAGACTATGGGCCAATGTTTAAGAACTCTGACTTTAGTCATCTTAATGAATGGCTTCAATGGTGTTAATGGGAACTAGGGCACTTTCTTTATTAATGGAAATCAGGCCACTTAATTACCTCACAAAAGTATAGAGACCCTAGTCTCACAGTTTTCTTCACAGCACGAATGATGAACTTCCTTTTAGAGCTATCTCTGTTAAAATCCATAGAACTGTAGCAACGATGAAATTATCCTATTGTAACAGAAATAGAGTACTTGTAAAAATGGGCCCATAAGCATGGCCTTCTTGTTGAAGCTAATTTCTGTTTAAGTGAATTTTCACAGTGGTGAATCATGGTTTGACTAGCTCATATCACTAGTAACTGTGGCAAGGCACAGTTATAAACACATATATACACAACCTGTGTCAAAAATGGGGACCTTCTTGAATTTTTCTGTATCAAAACTTGGTGGGTTTTGAATGAAAGGTTTTACTTTTTTTTTTTTAGTTCCTTCTTCCTAATCAGCTTTCTTCAGCATTTTCCTTTCTGTCATGAATGTTTTAACTTCAAATTGGACTTATTTTGTGCCTTTTGGTTGCCAGAAACTGGAGAATTGTCATTATTTGAGTTTTGTTGTTGCTTGCTCTTCTAAAATGAAAACCAAAATGCTTTCCAGAGAGTTAGGAAGGAACCAATTTTCAGTGCTAAAGAAACAACAGTGCTGTTAGCGGTGTTTTCTTTATGAGAGAAAATAGTGTATCATCTTCAGGCTTCAAACCTAGCTTTTAGTAATAAAGCACATCAGCTAATG